AGAGGGAGGAGAGATTTAAGTGTTGTTGAAAGCTCTCTACCAGCCCTCCCTGGTGGTGCAAGGGGTTGAAGCGCAGCACTACGAAGCTGTCAGCAGTGCTGCTGCACCAAGAGCTGACCCCCGGCCGGGAGTGACCCACATGGCCAGCAGACTCTCCTGCCGCCCGCTGCTCCCCTCCGCAGTGTGCTTCAGTCCCTCTGCCTGTGTTGCTCCCGCAGCTGTGCCCAGGACCCCGGTGGTTGTGGGCATAAATAAATGTCTCCAAATAAAGCTCTCTACGTTATCTGCCATGTCTACATCGATCAGACCTTTCCACGCACCCCCGCCTTGGGAAGCTCACCTACAAACCTTGGTTAGTGCAAGCGGGCTTGGGCTTCAAAACAGCTTTGATCCAGCTTTGATTCTGTTCTGAAACCCTGGCACTCCCCAAGAGGGTTTCCCCCCCAGACAACCATGGGGTTAAATGGTATGTCACAGGCACTGCAGGGACATTGTGAACACGTTCCCTCTCGTGCTGGAGGGTTAAAGAAGGGCCAGCCGGCAGCGTTCGACAGCCTGGCACAGAGGCAGGGCCAGTGCTTCCCCGTCACCCACCAGCTGACCCACAGGAGCCAGAGGCCTCTGTCCACTTCCAGCCCTATCAGTCGAGTGGGAACAGCAGCACAGCGTTACCCTGCTGCAAGTGGGAGAATAAATATTGTGAGATTAGTGAATTCCCATGGTGTTTGTGAGTCCCACAAAGAAAGAAACTCCATGGAAGGAACATGTTTTTATGTGGTTAAGACTATGAGTGGAGACCTTAGTATTCTTTTTTTTGGACCCCTGTGTTCTTGAGTAGTAGATTTCAGTGCAACGACTTTGTGGGGAAAGGTGGTCTTGGAGGGCGGCAGTGACTGTGCGGGCTTGGGAAGCTGGCTTGGTGGGGTCTCCCTTCAGCCACTGACCAGCGACTTGGCCTTGGGGTCGTGACTTCTGCCTAAGCTGGAGACAGAGATGGGCCTGTTTACCTCAGAGTGGGTGGGAGCTTCTGCGTGTGCGGCGTGGCGTGTGTGGGCCTCCACCCTCCCCTTCTGTTCTGGGGGTTGTGTGTCAGGAGTAGAACTATTCTGGGAAGGGGGTGAGGCTGGGGGCCTGATGCTGGGTTCGAGGCCTACGCTACAGCAGACACCAGCGTGAGAAACGTCCATTTTCCAGAGCTGGGCAGACTTCAAGCCCTTCGCTATGGTGTCCCAGAAACCTGCTAACCGATTCAAGCTAGAAGCTTGATCAAGTGAGTAGATGAGAACAAATGCCTTTCTTTCCAGTCACTCTATCTGTTTGGATTATTCTTTAAGCCTGAAGTTCAGAGGCACTAAAATGCCAGCGGGGTGCAACACCGCTCTCTTCTCATTCACTGAACACTGACCTGAGCCTGCTGTGAAGAGCGAGGCGATGCCAGGCTTCCAGTGAGCGCCACCAGAGCCCAGTTACCTGAGTCCTTTGCCAGCTCAGAGGCAGGCACGCACAGGCTTGGCGCCTAGCGGTGACTCAGCCAGTACTTGTCAGCTCGCCCGTCGGTGGTGCTGGTGGAGGCTGACGAGGCCTTGCAGAGCCAAGCCGTGCGCACTTGGGATGCTGTCGCCTTAAGTGACAGTCCTTGCCTTCCACTCCCCGCGGAGCCTGGCATAGCCCAGGTGAGCCGCCCCGTGGCCAGTGCCCACACTCGCCCTGCCAACCCCGCCTCCTCTCGGCCACATACCTGCGGCTGCATAGTTCTGGGCCGTGGCTGTACCTCAGTGTGCTCTGGGGGAGAAGTGGTGGCTGAGGCGCCTTGCTAGTGCTTGCCCAACTCTTTCATACTCTTATGAGTCCTGGTTTCCTGTTTGGCTCGCATTTTGTCCGCTGCCAGAGTTCAGATTACAGATGGGGAGCTGCCCCGGAGTGCCGCTTCAGAGAAGCCCTCGCCTCCACACTGCCACGTGTCAACAGCCACTGCCAGGTAGCGTGCTCGCTTCAGCGGGAGCCATGTTGGTGGTGCTGCGTGGCGTGCCGGTCCTGGGCCTGATTCCTCCTTCGAATGCTTCCTACCTGTGTGACCTCGGGCACGTCACTTCACCTCTCTGAGCCCGAGCGTCAGCACCAGGGGTCGTTGCGGGCATGCCGCCGGGCACAGGACTTGCACGCGAGCAAGCGCTCGGTTGACGCTGAGTCTTACAGTAATTCCACCTTGGTGGTTCTGGAACTGCCTCTCCTCCCCACCTGCCCCTTTCCCGAGAAGACGGGGTGGGTGCGGGTGGGCGGGGACGGCAGGCAGGGAGGTGACGGCTTCTCTGCATGGCGTGGCCTCTGCAGCTCTTCCCAGCCTCACCGCCTGCGTCGCTCGCCGTCGCTCGCCTTTGGCAGCCCCTGTGGCCTTTTATTCCCAGACTCGTGTTTTACTTGCAGAGGAAAGGGTCTTCCCTGTGCTGTCCCCTGCCTTAAAATCCACGGCCAGCCTCGCCCTCCAGGTCTCAGCCGGAATGTCCCAGCCTCTGAGTGCCATTTGCCCAGGACACTGTCCCTTAGCAGCGGAGCCCAGCTCGGCCTGGTGAGGTGCCACCAGAAATGTAAGCCTGGCCCTCCCGTGGGTGAGGCGGGTGAGGGGCAGTGGCCCAGCCCAGCCCCCAGTGGGTGTGCCGGGGGCCAGCACGCACTGGCCTGAGGGCAGCGCGTGGCCGTTCACCTTTTGGAAGGTAGAGTGAGGGGTGCAAGAGCTGGAAGACCCCTCTTTCCTCCCTGAAAGCCAGCCTCACTCCTCAGTTTTGCCCGCTCCCCCACACTGGGAGTGCAGGCTACCGCGAGGCTTTTGCTGCCGCAGCTCTGGACAGCCAGGCCGATCTGACCACGCCCCACCTGTTTGCTTGGAGCCTCTAAGAGGGGAGTCCCCAGCCCCGCCTCTGTCCCCCACCAGTTGCCCTGAGATGGGCCCACCTCATGCGCCCCCTCTGCAGTGGGCCCCCGGGGCAGGGCAGGCTGCACCAGGCCCTGGGAGCCTCAGGCACGCGTTTCCCCGGGAGACTGTGGCCTGTGTGAGCTCACAAAAACTTGCAACATCCAGTTCTTTCAAGGAGGACACCCCAGGGAAGGAGGGTGGACAGAGGGAAGGAGATCAGGTTGCAAGTGTGATGTCAGTGGCAGGGGCATGAGGCCAGGTCAGTGGCTCTTTGCCTTGCCCAGAGAAGACAACCCAGCACCTCACGGTTCGCAAACATCTGCACACGGGTAACTCACTGAATCCTGGCGACAAACATGGGCAGCGGGTATTCTCCCTGCACCCCCAGGCTGGGGAGGGGAAGAGATTGACCGATGGAGGCAAACACCACCCAACAGTGCCTCTGGGAGCCCTGTGAGGCGGGCCCTGCCTGCCAACTCAAAGCGAGGCCCAGGTCACCCTCTGTAGTATTTTCATGCTACGTGGCTTCTTAAAAAGGAGGCCAGAGTGATCAAAGCTGGCAGAAAGAGGGTAGGTGTAAAGAGTAACAGTGTGCTTTAGAGAAGCAAGGTCTTTCCAGAAGTTGGTGCAGAAAAAACGCCTGGAACAGAGCCCCCGCTGGGAAGGCCATCCTTGGGAGAAGGGGAGAAGGGGAGAAGGGGCGCGACCGGAGGAGAGGCTTGGGCCCAGCTCTGCCTGCAGAAAAGTCGCACGGGCGTCCTGGGGGGGTGTCTAGGTGGCCATTGGAGCCAGAAGCCAGGGGAGCCTGGACCCTGGTCAGCTCTGCTAGAGAAAGTGGCCTCAGCCACGGGTGGGAAGGAGGTAGGGTGGGGGTGCCCAGGTCAGCGACGGGGTGGGGTCAAAGTCAGGTTTTGGGAGGTCTCGACCAGGAGACCACACCTGGCTCCCTCACTGCCTACTGTCCTTGGGGCACCTTTTCCCCAACCCAAGAGCTGCTCGGCAGTGACCTGCCAGGACTGAGGCTCAGCCTGGAGCGGAGAAAGCGGGGAGCTTGCAAACCGGTCCCCCAAGTACAAACCACCCCTTTGAAAGGAGAGGCACCCAGACAGCAGGAAGCAGGATGGTTTTCTGGGGTGACCCGCGCCTGGGCTGTCCCACCCCGGTGGCCCAGTCTGAAGCCAGATGGTGGGGCCGCGAGAACCAGGGAGAGAAGCAGCTGCATTAAGAACTTCTGAAGCACTTGCGGCCGGGCCACTCGGGATTCTGGCTCCCGTGGAGTGCGTGTCCTCTCTCCACCAAGATACAGTGTGTTTCCGGGAGAGACTTTTATTTTTATAAGGAGCTCGGAGGTCTCGAGCTTTGGCAAGCGGTGCCTGCGAGTTGGGGCCTGTGAAGTTTTTGTGGGGTGCACTGTCCCCTTTGGCTTCAGCCCTGCGAGCCCCGAGGTGGGTGGCCCTGGGGAGCTGGCCCCAGAGCTGGCTGGGACCTCGGTTCCTCAGTTCCTCAGGCAGGACTGGGGAGGCACGTGGCAGCACCCCGCTGCCCTGCACGCGCCCCCCCCCACCGCCCCTGGTGTTTGCCTGCGGTTTCCTAGGAGCGGGGCTGCGAGCCTGTGGTCCTGTTACATAACAGCCTCCATCCATCCCCACTCAGTCCTCCAGCACGGAGCGACAGCACGCAGGGAAGCCTGCTCTCCAGACACGGGGGCTGCCGGGCGGGTCCGCAGCCCCCCGCCCTCCGCACCTGCACGGAGGCAGGCAGGCACGGCCAGCCGGCGGCGCCTCTCACACAGCACTGGGCCCAGCTAGGTCCCACGTGAGCGCAGCACCTGTCATGGCCCGCACTGGCCACGACTTCCCCAAGCTGGCAGGCCAAGGGGCCGCCCCTGAGTTGCAGCGTCTGGCCCCCGCCCTTCCCCCATCCTCTCTGTACCCCAGTCCTTCCTCCCGCCCAGGGAGGAGCCGGGCAGACCCCTGCTGGGGACCCTCCGAGCTCAAGGATACCTGCCCTCCCACGTGCCAGTGACTACTCCCACCCCCTCGGGCGCCGCGCCGGGCAGCCAGCCAGGGCAGGCCGCCCCCACTCCTACCTGTCTTCTTCTCTGGCCAAGGCAGAGAATGCTCCAGCAGAGACTTGAGAACCTCGGGCATGTCCATGGCAGGGGCCACTCCGAGCCGGTCGCAGCTCGACATGGCCGGGCAGGAGGTGCTTGCAGGGGAGTTTAGAAGCAGCTGGAGCGGCAGGAGCTGGCCTGGGAGCCGCAGGCGCTGGAGGCGGGCGGGGCGGGAGCCCGAGGCAGCCAATGGGCAGCACCCGCCCTGGCCCGCCCGTCCACCCCCAGCTCGGCCACCTGCCAGCGCTGCTGCAGCCAGGCCTTCCCTTCCCGCTGCCTGGCAGGGCGGGCCTGGCCCCGTGCCACTCGCAGCAGCACGTGGAGGCCCCGCGCCAATCCTCTGACAGAGAGCCTGGCCTGTTACCTAACTTTGCAAAGGAAGTTCTCCCCCAGGCAGGAGCCGCCGGCAGGGGCTGCCAGGTGAGGAGGCTCGCCCGCAGGAGCGTGCACGGCACCCCGGGCACACTGGGGGGAGCCCTGGGTGGGGCGGGGCAGGGGGAGGGGCGCACGCAGCCCCGCCCCCCGCCCCGACCCCGCGGCTCTGTCCAGCGACCCGCAGGCTGCCGGCTACGAGCGCCGCACTGGCCTCCGGGAGAGCGGCGCCCGCGAGACCGCGGAGGGGCGCTGTCCCATCCGCGGGGCCTGGGCCTGCTCTCCTGGGGAGTGACAAGCCCACAGGCTGGGCTGCTTTTGCCGCTCTGGGAGGGAGAAGGGCCCGTGCCGGCAGACAAGTGCTGGGAGGGGCCGCACCGGGGGGAGGGGGCTGGCGGTGGGGGAGGCGGCCCCAGGGGATATCCTGCTTCCGGCCAGTCTTGGGACCGAGGCAGCAGCTGGCCATTTATTCATACTGTAGTGCCAGCGCACCCCACCCGCGAACCCTCTCACCTGGAACCGGGCCTCTGCCCTCGGCCACCTGAGCCACCCAAGACCAGCCCTGGCAAAGCCAGCCTGGGCCTGCGCGGTGGCTCCACGCCAGGCTGGAGTGGGATCTTGAGCAAGTCACGCAACTGCTGGGGTCTCTGCTCCAAAAGCAGAGCAGAGAGAGCTGGAGAGAGCGCTCAGCTCCGTGCCCCGCGCCTGGGGGTTCTGCCACCTCCACCTCCCCCACTGCTGGCTCGAGTTACACAGAATCTGACCTATCCAGGCCTCTCCCCTCCCCCTCAGCCCCCCTTCTTGCCTTGCTAATGCCCCCCTTTTTTGTTCTTTTCCCCAATGAGTTAAAAATTAATTCCAACTTTTTAAAATACAAAAACAGCACAAGGCTCCAAGCTTGAGAAGTTCAACAAAGATGTCTTTTGGTATTTACTTATTTCTTTGGGAACAAAGGCATAGCTTAGGAGTGTCATCTCTGTCCCTGTCCCTTCTCTCCACCCCCTTCCTCATAAAAAACGTGGATTCTCATTTATTCTTCCAGCGCGCTCAGACTCTGAGGCCCCGGGGTGGATGCGTGGAGTGAGTTGACCTGGGACGTGCAGGCTGGTGCCTTGGCCACTCGGGGCCCAGAACCCCTCTTGTGCAAGACTGGCTGAGCACAAAGACAGCCCAGAGCAGGATTTCAGAGGCAACAGGAAGTCCCGACATGTCTGGAAGATCACCTGCGCGGGACAGCCCCAGCCAGCACTTTCCCAGGAGCTGTCCGCATAGACCTTTTGATAGTGCACAGCCCCTCTGAGACCACAGCGAGCTCTTGCTTGAGGCTCCGGCTGAGGCCTTGTGAGGAGCTGGGAGTGAACCCCACTGGCCGGGCAGCTCCTACTCCTAGAGAGTTCAGGCACTGGAGAAACTCAGCCCAGTGGCAGCACCTCCAGTGGGGGTGGGGGGTGGGGGGGTGGTCAGAGCAGCAGGACCCTGTGCAGAGCAGCTGGGGAGCCCAGGAAGCATTTGCAAGGGCCAAGGCAGGTATGCTGTCTCTGCACTTCTGGGGGTTCCTGGCTAACCCGCCTGAGGCAGAGTCTGCTGCTGCATCCCAGCTCCATCCCCACCCCTGGGCCTGTGAGGGTGACATTTGCCCCAATTCACCAGGAATAGGTCCTTTGTGCCTTGTCCAGGACAGCCTGCATCTTCCAGACAGGAGGCCGGGTCAGGTGAGAAGACCCCACGGGGCCATCTTGTTCACTGGGAGACTGGGTCTGAGTCCCGGCGGGTCAGAACGCTGTTACTGCGCCTCACCTGCTGGATCAGACTTGCGGTCTTGGATTCAGGCCCAAAGCAGCTCGCAGAGGTGGGCTCGACTCCTGGTCCCCAGCCACGCAGCGCAGGGACTCAGGCTGCTGCTCCCCAAGGTCTGCAGGTATTTTCCCCAGAAACTGCCCAGGCCTCCTGGCTGGTGGCGACAGAAGCTTGTAGTTTCTGAAGATGCCCCCACCCCCCGGGAGTGGAGCAGGGAGGAACCAGAGTGGGGGCAGGAGGGAGCCACGGGGCACGGGGTGGGGGTGGCACTACCGTGGCCCTACTCCCGGGGCTGGAGGCCAGGACTGGGTCTGCACTCAATCCCAGAACCAGCCAGCTCTGGCCCCTCGGTGGGTGAAGTTGGCTGCAAGCTGTAAATCACCTAGGTTTTGGGTCTCCCTGGGGGCGCAGGGGTTAAAGTCTCAGTGTTATCAAGCTGTGGCCAGCCATGCTGTGGCCAGGGAGCTGACCCACAGCACTAGCAGGCCTCTCCTACCCCCACCCCCTGCCCCGCTCAGCAGTGGATTTTAGTAGATCCTCCTCTTCTGCTCCCGTCTCTGGGGAATCCTCTCACCCCCTGCATCTTGTACGCGTGCACGAATGAAAATAAATCTTAAGAGTCAAGACCTTACTGGGTGTGGATCGCACACACGTGAAAGGCACACAGCAGTGGGCACCGAGGACAGCGGGACTAAGCCAGTTTGCTCCCCCGCGAAGCTCTTCCGGCCCAGCCTGGCCTGCACTGGGGTGTCCCCCGCCGGTGGGCCACTCACCCCAGTCTTCCAGAGTTCTGGCTCCCCAAGCCTGTGGACTCAGGTCTCAGCAGTCATCCTGTACCCTGGGGCTGATGGGCTGCGCAGGGGGGTGGGGACTGGCTGCCAACCCGAGAGTTTAAGAACTTAGTCAGCTCGCGGCATCTGTCCTGCGTGTCTGCTGATCTTCTGGGTTCACGGGAGGGGCCGTGCAGGCCCGTGGCACGTCACCACGGCATGGTGTCTGCATTCCTCTCAGGACCTGTACGTTACCCGGCTTAAGATTTCGTGGTGCAGCCAGCAGTGCTGAAAACCCGCAAAGGCCCCCGGCCATCACCCAAAGGGACTTCGCCTGTTGGTCTGCTTCCTGTGTGAGGGTCCTTGGAAGCCTCGCTGACACTTGCTGGGCTCTAAGGCCCAGGCCCAAGCCTTGAGGCTGTCGGGGAGAACAGAAGCCCCCACTGGCCGGCACGCAGGAGGCACTCACGCCCCGTCTTGATCTGTCAAACATCCAGCCCTGCCGCAGACCTGACCGATGCTTGACTGCTGGGTCTCCGGCACCTCCCCTTCCGCCAGGACGCCCTCCATCACTGCACCCCGGAGGCTTGAAGAAGCAGCCAGGGGGCCAGTAGCGCAGGTGCACTCGCTCGGCTAATGCACAACACTCCTGCCGAGGAGGAAGCCGGGCCCACGTGACCAGTCTCCCCGGGGCCCTGAGGAGCCAGGGCTGCACTGGGCCCGTGTTCCAAAGCTCATGTCCCCTCAGCCTTCTGGAAAAGCCACACCCAGAATGGGCACAGGGTGAGGAGCCCAAGGCAGGGCACGCCAGTGAGAGCCGTCTGGGTGCTGCCGGGCGCCCCCTGCAGGGCTGAGAGCAGGCTGACTGCAGCCTGACCGGCTCTGGTGGCTGCCGGGGCCACGTGAGCAGAGCACAGCTTGGCCGCCAGTGAGGCACTGCCAGAGCGGGGCTCAGCTGGGTGCCCTGTTCACACAGGGCACGGCCCTTGGCCCCTCACCTCTCAGACAGTGTCGCTAGGCCTGAGCTCTGCCCTGCTGGCGTGCAGCAGCCGCCCCGGCAGGGAGGAACAGGAGCGACACCTTGGGGACAGAGGTCAAAGCGCACGTGTTTATTTTCTAGAACAAAGGCTAAACGAGGCAAGTTTCTTTCATTTTATTTTAAGAAGGACAAAAATTGTTATTAAAACATCTACATTATTATCAAGATACTAGACCTTATGAATATTTAATATTAAAGTGTGGTATTCTTAAATTTTTAATACACAGACATTTTAAAAGGACCATTAAATTGATTACTGCCCAGCAAGGAATGCAGCCCCGCCCCAGAAAGACACCAGGGCACTCGTCCCCCGTGACCGCGTTCGCCAGCCTGACCTGGCGGTGGGCCCAGGCCCAGTTCTGCTCTGGGCCGCCCAGTCAGGGTCGGCCCTGGAATGACGCCCCTCACCGTTCACTGCCTTCCTGCCCCCCCGACGCCCGCACCGCCCTCACTCTTCTCAGCCTGGTGGGGGATGCAGTTCTGGCCAGGCCAGGGACCCCAGATGCCAAGGGCCCTGGGAAGGCGACAGGTTGAAGACAAATCTGAGCTTTAATCCTGTCCCTCCCGGTGGGCCACAGACTCCCATCATGTTCTCTGCCCCCTAGACCGGGTGGTCAGCAGCCATCGGGCAGAGCTGGGCCCAGGTAGGGCCTCTTCTGCCCCCGCTGCCAAATCACCCCTGACTCATGGCTCCAGCCCCCAAATCCTGCCAAATGGCCTGATGACCCCCAAGTGTCTTCTCATCAGCCCAGGATGGCTGCATTTTCTGGCTAAATTCTTTATCTTTAGCCCTCATTAGAAGTGATTCCTTGGATACCACACACATATATAATATTATATAGAGCGATATGTTTAATACCTGTGTATATATGCATCATGGGGCCGACATATATACACACTAGAAACAAGCTGGTGACGACGGACTGCAACGCCGCGGACCAGGGTGAACAGTGGCCACGGCCAGCCTGGAGTGACCGCTCCTCCCTCAGCCCCGCCACCGGCCCCGCACTCTGCGGGGCTGGTGCTGGGGGCAGGACGCGCCACGTCACCAGCGCAGGTGCGTGGTGGCAGCAAGAGGAGCCGGCCCCTCGGCCGGTGCCCCCCAGCGCCCCGTCACACACCGTCTCTCTTGCTCGAGGAGAATAGGGGACTCCATCCTCTCCGCCTCACCCCGCACTCCAGCCTTGCTCCTCGGTTCCTCCGGGGGCAACCCCACTCCTGTGCCAATGGTGTGGGGGCGTTCTGGAATGTCTAGGGAGCCGGGAGGCTGGGTGTGCCCACAGGGGTGGGGTGGGGAGGAGGGGTGATGAAAACACCTCGGACGGGAGGGATGGAGACAGCGTGGTGGGTGGGGGCAGGGCCTGGGGGTCGGTGGGCTGGGGTCCCAGGCAGCTGGCAGGGCCAGAGATGGGGAGGGGCTGGGAAAGATGTCTCAACTGCATGTCCAGGTCTAGGGAAGAAGGGCAGAGGACTGTGCCGCGTCCCCAGGAGAGGCCCGCGCTGCCAGGTCAAGCCCCTTTTCTCCTGCTCCCCCTCTTCTTCCCTCACCCCAGCACCTCATGCAGAACCTGAGCCCTTTCCCCTCACCCACGACCATCCCGTCCTCGGGAGGGCAGGGCACCTCACGGCGCCTCCGAGCCGCCCTTCCCCAGCCCCAGGGCTGCCTGAGGCCCCAGCTGGCACCGATGTGGCGGCTGTGCCACCCAACCTAGCGTCTGTAAGCCCCAGGGAGACCTGGTCCTGAGTCGGCCCACAGCGTGCGCTCCGAGGCGTCTTTCGCGGGACGGAGCCCCGGAGATCACCCTCCTGCCCAGGCCGGGCTTTCCCACCCACAGACAGGGGCCTGGGGCCGGGCCATCTCCCAAGGTTCTCAGGAGCTGCTCTCGCTCCTGAGGCCCACAGGTGCGGGGGAGAGCCACGCCCCTCGGCCAGGCCTGGGGTCCTGCAGCCCAGACCCTCCTACTATCCCAACCAGAGGGGAAACGGAGGCCCCAGCGGGTACAAAATCCCCAAGCTCCACCCTGGGGCTGCATTTTAAAGCTAATCGGGGACTTCTGCCCTCTGCGGTGTGGGTGGGGCGGCGAAGGGGAGGGAGAAGGGCCCTCCTGCTGCAGATTCAAGGGGGGACCCCAGGCTCCCCAGCCCTGAGCTTTGGGCCCGCTTAGGGGCA